CCTTGACCTGCTGGCCACACTCTTTTTAATGTACTCCAGGACACCATTGCCCTTCTTGGCCACAAGGGCACATTGCTGGCTCATGGTCAACTTATCTACCAGAACTCCCAGATCCTTCTCCACAGAGCTGCTCTGCAGCAGGTCAGCCCCTAACCTGTATTGGTGCATGGGGTTATTCTTCCCGAAGTGCAGGATCCTATACTTGCCCTTGTTGAAGCTCATTAGGTTCCTTGCTCGCCAGCTCTCCAGCCTGTCCAGCTCTCACTGAATGGCAGCACAGCCTTCTGGTGTGTCAGCTACTCCTCCTAGTTTTGTACTGTCAGCAAACTTGCTGAGGGTGCACTCTGTCCCTTCTTCCAGGTCATTGATGAATATGTTGAAGAAGACTGGACCTAATACTGACCCCTGGGGAACACCACTAGCCACAGGCCTCCAGCTGGACTTTGTGCCACTGATCACAACCCTCTGAGCCCCGTCCTTCAGCCAGTTCTCAATCCACCTCACTGTCCACTCATCTGTCCCACAGTTCCTAAGGTTACCTATGAGGATGTGGTGGGGGACAGTGTCAAAAGCCTTGGTGAAGTCAAGGCAGACAACATCCACTGCTTTCCCCTCATCTACCCAGCCAGTCATGCCATCATAGAAGGCGATCAGATTGGCCAAGCATGTTTTTCCCTTGGTGAATCGATTTTGACTACTCCTGATAACCTTCTTTTCCTCCATATCCTTAGAGATGACATCCAGGCTGAGCTGTTCCATCACCTTTCCAGGGGTGGGGGTGAGGCTGACTGGTCTGTAGTTTCCTGTGTCCTCCTTCTTGCCTTTTTTCAAAGGCTTGGAGTGACATTGGCTTTTATCCAGTCCTCAGGCACCTCTCCTGTTCGCCATGAGCTTTCAAAGATGATGGAGAGTGGCCTAGCAATAACATCTGGCAGCTCCTTCAGCACTTGTGGGTACATCCCATCAGGGCCCATGTCTGTAGAAGGCTTCATCAACTTCCTCTTCCTGATCAGTTGGCCTGTAGTAAACACCCACAACAGTGTCACACGTATTAGCCTGCCCCCTGATTCTTACCTATAAGCTCTTGACTTATTCTTTGTCCCTGCCTAGGCAGAGCTCCATACATTCCAGTTGCTCTCTCACATAAAGAGCAACTCCACCACCTCTTCTTGCTGGCCTGTCTTTCCTAAAAAAGTACGTAGCCATCCATGACAGCATTCCAGTCATGTGAGCTGTCCCACCATGTCTCTGTGATTTCAATGGGATCATGGCCTTGCAACCGCACACAGATCTTTAGTTCTTCTTTATTCCCCATGCTGTGTGTGTTGGTGCTCAGGCATTTTAGAGATGTAATTGAACATGCAGGTTTCCCTGGAGGGGTGCAAGAGGATCCACCATAGCCATACACACCCTTGACGTTGTTTGCCTTCTGGTTCTCATCTTGGGGGGCAGCTAAGGAACATTTGTCACTGCTCTGGTTGGCCTGTCTTACTGCCCAGTTAGATACGATGGCATGAGCATTGCCATTCTGGACCCCACCCCCTGAGTCCTGCAGTTTAAAGCCCGCCTCACGAGGTTGGCCAGCCTGCTGCCAAAGATTCCCTTGTCTTTTCTAGACAAGGGACAAGACAGGTGGATTCAATCCCTCCCTAACAGGTTATAGTCATCAAGAATGTCCAGTTGTCAAAAAAGCCAAAACCCTTGAGATGGCAGCAGCCACGTAGCCAGAAGTTGATACATATTATTTGTTTATTTCTGGTTTCCCCCATTCCTCCAACTGGTAAAACGTAGGAGAAGATAACTTGGGCACCAGTATTTTTCACTTGCACCCCAAGGGCTTCGTAGCCTTCCTTGACTCTGTCCTGGTTCTGGCTTGCACTGTCATTCATGAAAGAGTAACAGTGGATAGCAGTCTGTGCTCTTGATAAGTTGGTACGCTCTTGGCCCTGTCTTGGATCTTAGCTCCCAGAAGGCAGCACATCTCTTATGACTCCCTGTCAGGTCGGGAGATGGGTGCCTCAGTGCTCTTCAACAGAGAGTCACCCACCCAAATGTCATTTGTTTTTATGGTATCCACTGTGTGCTACTGGTACAGTTTCTCTATGCAGATCTTGCTCATGGGTGTCTGTATCTGCTAAAGCTTCATACCTATTTTTTTTGATGCTGGAGGGTGGAGACTGAAGCGGAGTCCTGCTTTAGTGGGTCACCAGGGTCCAAGGTGCCTCATTCTTAGTGATGTCCACTACAGGAACATGGTTATGAAACCACTTATCTCTCTCTGTCTCGACTCAAAAACGCAAAAACACCAGAAAGGGGGACCACAGTTTGATTCATTTGGGTGCCTTTTGTTGGTTAGGGTCACATATTGATTGCTGTTATTAAATAAGTCTTACATAACTCTGTGCTATGGGCTGGGGCTCTGATGTTAGTAACCTGTGGTTGCAGCTCAGATATGCCACCACAATTACAAGGTTAAGTGGCTTGAAGCAGGCTGACAGCAGTAGATGAGCCTGCTGTTTTTCACTTTTGGGTATCTGAATCCCAATCCTGGTGAGACTGTATATATTTCACTGAGCAACTACTGTTTAAAAAGGTAGGCCCATATATCATTACCTGATCAACTGTATTAGAGCTTTGCTTCAGAGATGCAGATTGGTTTGCTCACCCTTGTAAACATGAAGAGCATATGATGGCATGCAGAGCTTCTGCTGATTTTGTTTAAAATATAAATTCTTAGGTTCTCTCTGGGTAGAGTCAAATTGGCACTTCATGTAGGTAAGCATTTAAGACCTGCAGGATCTGCCTTATGGATGTGAGCAACTCTTAATTATCAACATTACTGAAGGCAAGGCATATTTATCATTGTCACTAACTTTCAGTTCAGCTTAATAAAAACTCATCTCATGCATGTACCCAATGTGTGTGCATTAAGCTATGCTGAGCTCTAGCTAACTCTGTTTTTTTAATTCCTTCCGTTGTCTGCCAGCAGTTTTCCTTAGTGGAAGAACAGCCATGGATTAACAACAGAAAAGATCAACAAAACAAAATCTTCGATTATTTTGTGTTTATTCTGCCATGATTGCAATGAAAAGCTCTCTTTTTTTCCTCCCCGCTCCCTATAGGACAATTTGCAAAAAGGAAGAAGACTTCGCTTTGGTTCACAGTCTCTCTGCTGGTAGTGTCCGTTTTCATACTGACCATAGGTCTGGCAGCTACCACAAGAACAGAAAATGTTACCGTGGGAGGCTACTACCCAGGCATCGTTGTGAGTAAAGAAACCTATTTTAGATTATTAGGTACAGCCCGATAAATTATTATCAGCTGGATACTGGAAGCTCTGACTGATTAAAAAAAAAAAAAAATCAGTCCTGTTGCATTTCACAGGAGAGAGATGCTCCTTTGTTTCAATCTAGTTCTAGTGTGTAATAAGGTAGGAGGTTAAACTCTATTTTTCTGAAGTGGCCAAAGGGGAGGCTGTTAGGGGACAGAAGGGGATCAAGGTTGCACTGCACAGCAGCACGCTAGGCTCAGGGGCCTATAATCTCTATTAAAGGTGGGCATATAAGTGATGAGACAGTAGGCATGGGATAGATTTAAATGACCTTTTAGAGGTTTACTACTTTGACAGCAGAAAGAGCCACTCCACTCTCGTGTCTATGTGCTAGGAATTCTGCTGGGTCCATCGCAGGGAAAGCCCTGCAGATGGGCACGTGGAAGCTTCTTTGTGGAGCCTGCATAACACCTTCTTGTGCAGTCTTGCTGCCAGTCCTCTCATACAAGATTCCCTTCCAAAATCCTTATTTTTGTTTTTGCCTTGGGAACAGACCACTTAAACATGTTCCTGCACTGGGCACAAGGTTTGAGTTGTGTCTGCTTTGCCCTGTGGTGCCTCTGTGACTTCTGGGGAGGGATAGCCCTGCCAGGCCCATGCTGGCTCAACCCCCATGGCCCCTTCTGGTCTCAGAAGAACCGATCAGTCATATCCTAAAGAGTGGAAGCCCCTGGAGTCAAAAAAGATTTTGAAATACCTGGGCTGAGATTTAAAAAAGAGGAGTATCGGCAGCAAATAGAGAAAGGCCCATCTGCCTCATTTGGTCTCCCTGAGCCAGCCAAGAGGAGGCAGAGAGTGCAAGGTGAAGAAAGAAACTCATGTACTTAGAGTTAGGCACTTGCTTAGGTTTGTGGCTCCACCACTACCAAAAATGTGTTGTAAGGTATCACTATTTCTTCTTCTCTATGGAATTAAATGCCCAGAGAAGAGTGATATATATCTTTCCATACGGTGCATAGATTTTGCATTGCCATTAATAATTTGTGAGTTAGAACTGTTCCTCCTAAGGAAGTTCTCTGACATCTTAGTGTCATGCCGAGAACAGGTCTTTCAGAAAGATAATTTTGGGATAATGATCTATAAGGAGTAGTGTTTTAAAGATAGAACAAAAAGTAGTTCCCAGCATGAATTTTCTTTTCATTAAGCTAAAATAGATAGATTAATACTGATAAAGGTCTCTTCTTCCTTAATTTGAATTAAAATATTTTAGAAGACTGTATTATTTGCATTCATTCCCTAGAAAGAAGTTTAATTTTTAAACTGTTCTCTTTAATAAGTGTAATAAATAATAAACCTATGTGCACAAAACAAGTTATTTCAGAATTTAGTTTCTTTTAGGAATAACACAATGTCTAGTCACTCAGCTGAAAAATGTAATCTACTAAATTTTTTTTTTAAGTCTTGGAGTCATTCATAACCAGATAGGATAGCTAGAATTCATCAGAACACTTTGAGAACAAAACTGTATTAATAATTTTCTCCCTCAAAAGGTTGTTGGAGATAAATAATTTTCATAAAATTCAGAATTCTTTTTTGCGCACATGTGATGGATTATTGAAGTAACTGAGAAAGAGTGGTGGGTAATTGTCAGTGTAAACCTATTAATACACTAAATATCACAAACATTCAGTAAAAGTGCTATGCCAACCTTGCATGATATCTTTCATTAATACACTAAATATCACAAACATTTAGCAAGAGTTAAAAGTGCTATGCCAACCTTGCATGATATCTTGGCGAAAGCCTAGTCAGAGGTGTAGGACAGCACTACTGTGCTCCTGCCTCATTGCCAGAGCTTGTTGACTCCAGTGCAGCACCGGCAGATGGACTGTGGGATGGCCTCTCCTCCGCCTCCACGCGAAGTCTGCCACCTCTTTCAGAATGAGCTGAGTAACCCTCAAAAGGTGCTTCTCTTCTCCGCTGACAGTAGAGGGAGCTTAGAAGACTAACATAGCGCCGATCCCAAACTTTTACGTACCTAAAGCTAGGGGAGTGAATTCGACACTATGCATTTAACTGTTGAGCTCAAGGAAAAGAGAGATTATGAGGACAGACAATATTAATTACAATTAAAAATAATGTCTAGTTCTCATATAATTCAGTAGTAAAATACTAACTTCAGAGCTGGTAGGTGAGATCTAAATCTCGATGGAACTTAGGTAAGGGATTTTGGTCTTAAAAACCATGCAGATTTAGTCCCTATCTTGCAAACACCTACAAATGTGAACAAGACTGTCCACTTGCATCGATTTACTTTTATCTAGAAACATTTGAAGAGCAGGGCTTTAGGGCTTAGATCCATAATATAATTTGGGCTCCTGCTTAGTTCCCATTGGCTTCAAGAAGAGATAGGTGTCTTAATTTCTCTGCATATGTGGTCACTTGTAATTTCTTTGGAAAAAGCTTTTTTTTTAAAGACATCTTTATAGTTGTTTGTATTACCTGCATTTATGCATCCAAAGTGATTTAACATAAAATATTTCTGTGTGTAAATGAGTTAATGTAATTTTCCACTTTGGAAGGTGTCTGCATTTAGTAGATTACTGTTTGATCATCAGTTTGGGTTTAGAGCTGTCTTTGTGGAACAGGCTGCAAAGCCAGAGTTGGAGCTTCTTCAACCTCACTTCCTTATAAGTGTTGTTTATACTTAAATATTTAATGTCACTTCTCTATGACTACTGCTCGTATTATTTGCATTTGCTATTTTTGTCATATTTCAACCAGGAGTCTACAGGGTTCAATTGTCCCAGTCACCATACTGACCTGGACTCCCAGAGTTTCCAACCCAAATAGCCTATTGTCTAAACAGACAAAAAAAGCAGCGCATATGGCCCTAAATCAAATTCAGCAATGTCGTGGCTTACATTGTGATCTCTATCTATGGTTCTACTCCTTCTGATTTAATTGCTATTGTTCTGTATTTGCTCATTTTTTTCTTCACATGGATAATATTACTCCTCTCTGTGTTCCCTGCATCAGCCATAAATGGGGCTTTATGGATTGTTCCCATTGGGATGAAATATGGGGCTTGGAACCAGGTGTCATTTTGATGTAGTTATCTTAATTTACAAAGTTGCTGTCCCCCGAACAGAGTGTCCTTGCTCACGGTTCCAAGTCTCTCTCCTATTCAGCTGTCAGCATGGATGCACTTGCACACTCTTTAAGTCTCTGCTTTTAGTCCTTGTGCTTCCCTTTCACATAAATCTTCTCAAAGCACTCAAGAGCAAATCTCCTCTCCCTACATTTGCTTTCTTGAAAAGGAGTGACGGATTCCTGTTGTGATACTGAGCAAGTAAAGTTCTTGCAGGAGATTTGCTTTCTTCTGTGAGCAGTTGTGCATAACAGCAGGGAGTTGAGGGGCATTGCTCAAACCCTTGGCAGCCCTTAAAAACTTAACTTGTGCTTGGAGGAGAGTCTCTGAACTAGATTCAGAGACCTTGTCCCAGAAAGGTGCTTAGATTCCTTAGCAGAAATGTCACGACCCATCCATGGGGTGGGTTGTGTGGGAGCTGAGGGGGTGACTGGGGCTGTGTCTGGGCAGGGACAACTGTCAGCCCTGGTGAAGAGAGTAGAAGTGATGAGGGATTGAGACTGAGGTGACCACAGGGCAGCATGTGGCCAGACAAGGCAAGGAGGAAAGCTCTATGGAAAGAGCCTGTTGACACTCGCACTTCTGCTGTGGCTGCTTCTGAGTCTGCGGCCATCCACATCTCAGGTGTGTGGCACCAAGGAGACCCCTTTTCTCCAAGCCCACCTGAGGCAGGTGGGAATCCTGACTCCAGGAAGGTCTGATGGAAGGCTCTTCTCACCTGTTGCTGCTTTACTTCATGTTAACCAGAATTGTGACTCCAGGAAGGTCTGATGGAAGGCTCTTCTCACCTGCTGCTGCTTTACTTCATGTTAGCCACCAATCCAAGGTGTTTCTACGTCTTCAAACCTTCCTGGGCCCGTCATAAGGAAGGGGCTTTTCCTGCTAGCCTGGTGTTGAAGCAGGACTGGTAGTAACAGTAAGGCTAGCTTACTCCAGTGTCCCTTCCTCTTCTCTCTCCTGTGGCTGTTGGTGCTGCAGCTGTCCCGTGTTGAAACTAACTGTACTGGTCGTTTTAGCGATGACTTTTTCTGGGATGTGTGATAGTGTTTAGTCATTACAGTCAAACAAACCGAGCCCTAAGGGTTTGAACTTGAGTTGCTTGCATGGCAACAACACATCCATTTCTTGAGGAAAACTGTTTGCAGTTGCCCAAAGCTTTGCAGTTTTCCAAAATAACAATGTATGGGCTAAATGTAAGTGTTCTTTTCTTCTACTTTGCTTAATTTTTGCTTTACAGTGTGTAAAGCTATATGTGACTATAGTTAACAGTAGACAGGTTATAGAAGCCTGTGTCTGTACAGGCTCCTGTTCACTACATGACAAGTTTTGCTCTGTAATGTCAAAGAGCTGCAGTTCTGGTCATTCCCCATTACATTACATGATTTATGTCCAGCAGTAACTTCCACCCTTTCCCCTGACCCACCCCAGTTAGTCTATCTGTATGATACATCAGCACAGATATCACAGTAATGCGTTGGTATGTTGACCAAATAAGCTGACCTCCTGTGTTTTTGTTGATTTTGTTCTTTGCCTTAGCTTGGCTTTGGATCTTTCCTAGGGATTGTTGGCATCCACTTGGTAGAGAACAGAAGACAAATGGTAAGTAACAGCCCTTTTCGTTTTCATTTTTTCATATCAGAATGTCTTAAAAACTTGAAAAGCAGGGATTTCCAGTTGACTTAGAACTGCCTCAAAATATTAGTAATTTCTTACCGTTTCTGAGAAGTTTCAGAGAAGCATGAATTGGCCAGTGACTCTATCCGTACAAGGCAACGGATGGTTTTACTTCTGACAGAAGCAGCCTGCTTTTTTTTTTTTTTTTTTCTCCCCTGAATTACTTTCCTGCTGGTTTAGTGAGTTGAATTGACCCAGGGTAGGATCAGATGAGTGCCAGAGCTTTGCTAGGACCATGTAGCTGGGAAAAGGATGGAGAGAGAGACAAAATTCATGGGTCATGCCAGTTTGGGCAGCAACAAGCCACACAATCAGCATACCTGTAACAGGTGATCTCATCCTGTGCAAGAAGTCTAAGTCAGGAACACTTTCCTGAAACTATATGCATTAAAAAGAAGGAAAAAAAAAAAAGCCAAACCCAGAGCTCCTGTATCAAAATTCCCTGGCTAGGTCAGACAGGATCTGTCAACACTGTGTGGTTTGTTTTTAGATTTAGCTTGGGTTTGCAAACCACTTGCTTTTATTTATATGAGGAAGTCATAGAAAGTCCTTCTTGAGGCATCTGGGTAAAGGAAGGTGCGTAGGACTGGATTTGTGGAAAGTCTTACACTTTCCTTGCTCTTGGAAAAAAATAGCAGTGTTGAATAACAGCATGCCCAATGTGCATTTTACAGTAGACTGATTATAGCCAAGTATCATTGTGAAATATGACTAATTTCATAGTGCAGAGCCTTCACTGATACAAATCAAGGGTGATGTTAAGCTCAGAGGAGGAAGTGATGGATTTACCTTGCCTTTTACTAACAAGTAACTACTTTACTTACAAGTAGTCTGTTGTCATTTCCTGTTTTCTTCTTCATAGATGCAGTCGTCCTCTCACTATTTTAATGCAAACCTCTTTCATAATATAACTTTTTTTGCATTGCCTTTAAGTTTGAGTGATGTATTTGCAAGTATTCCCCTGCTTTTAACTTTTGTTTCGAGCTGGGTTTCCCAAAGGAATGAGATTTCTAAAGCCATGATGCTTGTCTGTGTCTTCCTCTGTTTCCCCATTCCATTTTTTGAACATATTGACCAATTTCAGGTGAATTCAGCAGGGAGGTAGGGACTTCAAAGGTGTGCAATTCCCTTCAAGTTTCATGAAAATACACAGGTGGGTGGAGGAGAGAATTATGAATTAGTTCCCCTGTGGTGGTAAAGGCTGCAATGTCAGCTCACATCTTCTTGAACACTAGAGAATCCAAATGGGACATGACCTGTGAGACAAAAATCTGCAGCAGGCCAGGCCTCGTTAATTTTGCTACTAACAAAACAGCTTTTTTTTTTTTTTTTTTAAGAACTATTGCCCCTGATTTCTACATCAGAGACCAGGATGAACAGCAGGTTCCAAGTTGCAGACTCAATGGTGGGCAGATGAAAATAGCTTTGTCTTCCACAGCATTCTTGCTACTTTACGAACAGGCATAAAATTTCAGGGTTATTTTATCTTTCAGTTTGCCTCTAATCTGCCTCTTAGTTTTCTATTGCTTCTGTCCTTAGCAGAAAGTGAAGTGGCTGAAAAAGGCGTAAGGTGGGTAAGCAGTGGTTAAACCATGTAATACTGAACATGTTGTGTCATTTACATAAGGACTGAGGGGAAATAAGCGTCCAGTATGTTTGGTATTAGTGCCTGTTTGCATTTCCCAGCATGTAACAAGGAAAACTGCCTTCTGCTAATAACACTTAGCGATGATCTGGCTGTTGAAAGATTTGGTTTCTGGGGAATAGACCAAGAAAATAACTAGAAAGTTTAATTATGCTTCTTACCTTGACTGCCATCCATGGTGGGCTGAGCCTTTTAACACTGTCTTTGCTAAGGCTGAGCTGCTTGTTTTCAGACGTTACGGAAATGAGATTGAAAGGGTTTATGTCATACTACGACTGAGGGCAGTAATTATTCTCTGGGGTGTAACTGAGTATATTCATTGAAAGGGTTTAGGGCAGCTTTAATGAATTTGCAGCCATCAATAAGATTGTAAAGACTTATATAAGCACAGAAATGTAGCAGAAGTGTCATATTCCTGTAACTAAAAATTCTATGCATTACAGCGGGACAAAAGGGGGTGGGAAGGAAGATAAATCGTTTACTTAGTTGCTTCTATTTTAACTGGAATTCCTTTGAGCAGTTACTACAGTATGATTTGAGTTTAACCCAATGTAGCTCTGACAATTTCCTGGCCCTTCTCAATACTTCAGTTTTGTTTTTTTTTTTTTAATTGAAAATGAATGAAGATTCAATTACACTAGGAAAAAAAAAAATCTAAATTTAAATTGACCTTTTCTCTGTAACTGCGTTTCTCTTTTTGTCTTGAAGTTCTGTTTCCTTGTGACCTATCATCTGTAAGTCCAGATTTATTCATGGTTGGTGAAATGCTAAGTACAATACGAAATACGTAATGATTAGCAGAACTAGTACAGCAAAACCCCAGCACTCAATAAGTGCAAGCACGGGGTGTGAGAAAGAACGAAAGCACAGTTAGGCAGAATGGAAGATGGTTAGTTTTTAAAACACAACATTAATAATGTTGCACCTCTTTGACCTCGTTCTTGGCATCCCAGGGCTCGCAGTGGGAGTTCAATGTGCTGACCAAGGTATAACCTTAATTCAAAGGGACTGCTGCTTGCAGAAGCAGGCTCTGCCTCATTGACTAGCATGATTTCACTTTAGCTCTTAGCATTCGTGCTTGGCTCTGCTGTGTAGAACTTGGCACCAGCAGAACAAAATTTCCCTTTGACTAAAGATTTGCATAATTTGGGATATTTCTAGCTGGCAAACAGCAGAAATGGAAGAATAACATGTTGATGTCCCTTTTTGCCTCTCTTGCCCCCTGCAAAGCAGATCATAGGTCGAAGAACAAAGTATAGCTGCTGTAAGTTGTTTCATTCCAAAGGCATGTTTAGTCCAGCCAGATGGGTGGAAAATACGATACTGCTCAAATCAAATGGATTTGATTGTAAGACATGAAGTGTCTTTGCTTGCTTGCCATCTCCTCACATTACAGTACAAAATTTTTCAAATTGGGAAATGAGATGCTGAAATTGCATACAGAGGTGGGGAAGGCTGGATGCATGGGGGTTCATGGCAGCAGAGCTGAGCTGAAAGCAGTATGCAGTGCTGAGGGAGTGCTGTAAAAGGTTTCTTCTCAGATAAATGTGGAGGTGGCATGAGCTAGCACCCAGAAATGAAGCACTCTTCAATGTGCAATGTTGATAAGACACCATGCATGTTGTTTTAGCTAACCCATTGGATAAACCAAGCACTGGCTCACAGTTTCGATTCACACGTCTTTCCACTGCCAGTCTCATCAAGCCGTACTGTTCATAAGGCTGAAAATGAGCATGCTGAAACTGTGCTGCCTACAAGAGTGATTGGGAGATGCAAGGGCACCATAATAACTGTCAGGGTTTTGAACATTTGCAATAGCACAATGCTGCCTCCAAGAGCTCTTGACAGGGTCGTGGGAGTCACCCCAACAGCAGCGCAGCTACAGTGGAGAGCGGTAAAGGCAGGAGGGGAGTGGGAGGAGGCAGGAGCATAAGGGACATGTAAGGGACACAGGCGATGGGGAGGTGTCAGAGAAGCAGGAGTGACCCTTCAGGTGGTGTGAGTTAGCACGAACCTCGGTACTGTTACAATGAAGACGGTTGTCTGCAGCAGGTCTGAGTCCTGAATTCATCCATTGCTGAGTCTTGCTTGTTTTTTCTTCGTGCTAACACACAGTTAATTTTCTTAGTGACATGTCTAGGACATACTCAGATATAAATCTAATGCTCAGCTGGCTTTACCTGGTCCTTGGCTTGTTCGCAGAGATGGTTGTAGTGATTTTAGCTGAGGAGATGTTGCTTCTGACAAAAGTAGAGTTTGCAAACATGAGGGAGGTTAAACATGGAGCTCTGTGTACCAACAGAAGAGGCAAAGCTATTTCTTCAGACTTCTCAAGGGATGCTAAGTTTAGGTGTCTTAATATGCTTGGTTCCCAATCTCTATCAACAATAATTAGATTTCAGATTAAAGTGCTGAAAAGCAACTATAGCAGAAGTCTATACTTAGAGAAACAAAGCAATAATTTTCTCTTCTGTTTATAGTTGATAGACTTTCCTGACAATGCATACGCTCCTACCCTGCAGTGAGATGTATGTGAGGTAGTATTTCAGTATTAACTCTGATTATTTGCTTGCCACTAGACTGCATCGGTTTCAGAAGAAAAGCTTTTTTTAAAGGAGTTACATATGTGAGCCAGTTTTCAGAAGAGCCAAACCTTTGTCGCTTGTCGAAACCAATATATCTTGTAACTAGATTATGTCCATCAGAAAATGCCCACTGGTTGTTTTCTGTAAAGGTGGTGGTTATTAATATGTACACCAAAAAAAAAGATACTTATATGTGTAGCTACTCTGCTCTGTTCAAACATATTGTGCTTCATCTACTTTTTCATGCAAATCGAACATCCTGGAAGAAACTGGCTTTAGTGCCGATTTTGATCAAAGATGCTAATTGCTGATAGATTCGATATCACATATTATTGCTAATTAAAGGAGCTTGGTAACATGAAGAGAAAAACCACTGAAATTCTGTAGATCTTCTGAGACCATCTTTGATGTTCCTGCACAAATAAATGGAAGGAGTCTTTACTGTAGTGCAGGGGAAATGGAGATAATGTAAAGGCAATCTTTGTCATTACCGAGGTAATATTTCTTCTCTGAACTCAAGCTTTTGAGAATGTCAACAGCACTTCTTTTTTTCAGTGATTATTTTTTGTGTGCTCATATTTCACATAGTTCAGGGAAAAATAATTAATGCTGATGTAAAAGTTATAATAATGGAACAAATTAGAAATCATCCTTGTCTTGTTTAGCACCTTTAAAGTTATTTGAACTGAAAAGAC